CCCCCCCGAAATTGCGATGTCGAGTCTGACAGAATTGCACATCTGCGGGCTTTGTAGACTTGTTTCGTGTCGAGATTAACGCCCACCGACTTAACGGCTTGAAGGAAAGTAACGATGTGCAATTCTTTTTTCCAGCATGCCTATTTGATCATTGCAAACGAAAACTGCCCGCTCCAGTGTCTCTCGTCTTCGTTACTAACGCTCCCCGGTCATAAAAGTGTGCGTAAAATATATCCGACCGCTAACTGGTCGCCTGTTCAACTAGTTACACTACAATTCCATTGACCTTACTGCTTTTTTAGGCCTTTCTGGACCAGTTTGCTGCGGTTGGTTGACTTCGAGCATTCCGTAGTTGAAAAACAGACCCAGTAGCTGGTTTGTACAAAAATGGATTCCATAATGTGAAAAGCTTAGCACAATGTAAATATTACACTCGCCACCAAATGTCTCCAAGCGTAGAAATCCGGAATATAGCGTCAATTTATGCGGGAGCCGGATGGAACATTCAAGTATGATGACCAGAAAAAGGTACACTTATCGAAAAGATGTAAACAAATATAAAGTAAACGGTAGAATGTTGATAAATACAAAAGATGTCATATGGAGGGCGTTAGTGTTTATGCCAAGCGGACAAACGGGGAAGTAGCAAGTCCAGTCTTGTTAGTAAGCAAATAGGCACGTTACTGTCGAATGGGTGGTAGTGTTGCAACAAGAAGACATGCATGGGAACAACCAATGTATAGTAGAAGAAGATTAATTTGAAACCGAAACAAAATAATTTTGAACTTTCGAACCCTTACACGAATCCATCACCAGAACCTAGAGCAACAGTACGCTGAGCGAATAAATCGAGCCAAATGTGATTAAATTTACAGCTCCGGACAGGGCCTAGATAGCTCAGTTGGCTAACTCGTTGGCTGCACGAAAGCTTTCCCCTTGTTGACATGAGTTCGACTCTCACCGAGACCGCTAAGTTTTTCACAATTGGGTTAAATGAATTATTGAAATCTGTCAAAAGTCTCCTAATAACGAAACGACAGTCGTAGGGAGTTATTGGCCAATCAAGGGGGGTTAAAAAAAGGTCCGCGGAT